TCTAATCCTAAAGACAAAGGATTTCTGTATTTCAGTAGAACAAGACCACAGACTACAGTCCAGAACAAAACAGAACCAGGTAAAAGGAAAACAAATCAATGACCAAACTTTAAATATGTCTTCCTTCTCCAATGAGCTCATTGCTATTGGAACATTTGGAAAAGTACAACTGTTTTAAATATTTCTGGAGTTACTTATTTTTAGTTGACAGCAGTTCCTGTTAGAATCAATTTAATGTAGCATCTTTATGATGCAGCCAGTTCATTTATTAACATCCCAGCAGGTCCACATGACTGAGTCCTAACAAAAATAAGGCATATTAACACACGGGAAAAGGGCTAACTGCTAGGCTTTATGAAAGAATCCAAGAAACAGAGAAAAAAGCAATTACCTGATTATATTACAAGTCTCTTTTTAATTTTATTTTATTGTATTTTTTTCCATTACCATTTATCTCCCTTATACTCTTCCACCCCCACTCCCGCCCCACAATCACCACACTGTTGTGCGTGCCCATGAGTTCTTTTTTTTTCTTTTTTGCTCAATCCCTCCAACCTTCAAATCCCCTGCCCAAGCTGTCAGCTTGCTGTCTTATGAGTCTGTCTCTATTTCACTCCTTAGTTCAGTTTGTTCATTAGTTTCCACGTATGAATGAAATCATACGGTACTTGTCTTTCATTAACTGGGTTATTTCACTTAGCATAATTTTCTCCAGGTCCATCCATGCTGTCGCAAAGGGTAAAACTTTCTCCTTTGTTATGGCTGTGTAGTATTCCATTGTGTAAATGTATCATAGTTGTTTTAGCCAGTCATCTACTGATGGACACCTTGGCCGCTTCCAAATCTTGGCTATTGTAAATAACACTGTAATGAACACAGGGGTGCATATATTCTTTTGAATCAGTGTTTTGGGTTTCTTTAAGTAAGTCTTTATTAATACTTTGGAGAGGACAACCCACAGAATGAAATATTTGCAAGTCATATATCTATAAGGATCTAGTATCCAGAACATATAAGAATGTTTAAACTCATTGAAAAAAGGGCAAATAACCCAATTTAAAAATGGGTAAAGGATCTAAACAGACATTTGCCCAAATAAGATATGCAAATGGCCAATAAGGGCATGAAAAGATGTTTTATGTCATTAGCAATTAGGAAAATGTGTATCAAATTCACAATGAAATATCATGTAACATCCATTAGAATGGCTATTACAAAAAAATAAATAAATGTTAACAAGTATGTTGAGAAATTAGAACCCTCAAATACTGCAAGTAAGAAAGTAAAATAATGCAGCCACTTTAGAAAGCAATCTGGCAGTTCCAGAAAAGGATAAACTTTGAATTACCGTATGACCTAGAAAGCTCACTCTTGCTATATACCCAAGAGAACTGAAATCAGTAAGTCCACACAAAAACTACACAAATGTTCATAGCAGCAATATTCATAATAGCCAGTAAGTTTATGCTACCCAAATTGGGTATTTCAACCCAAATGAAGTATATGCCATAACATGGATGAACCTTGAAAACGTTATTTTGAGTAAAAGAAGCCAATTACAAAGATCCCCATATTATATGACACTATACATATGAATTATCCAGAACACACAAATCCATTGAGACAGAAAGTAGATGAGTAGTTGCTTAGGGCCTAGGGTATTGAGGAGAAATATTATTTGAATAATATTATATACAATTCTTAAATTCTAAAATACACAGCAATTAATGTTTCCTATGAATGGAATATTATAGTTACTCCAAGTTGTTGGGGGATTTTCCTAATACTGGGCCCTAAAATGCTTTTCAAAAAAAGAGCCATAAAGCATCGAGCCATAAAGCATCAGGAGTACAAAGGAACTGAAGAGAAACAGAGTTTGCCACACCAAAATATGCCTTTTGGGCATACTGATTATTTTAAGCTGGTTATTTTTAAGAAACAAAACCTCAGAAGAACCTTTGGCTCTCCCCTTTATCTGGCTAATGGAATTCAGATTTTAAAAACCTGCCCCAGAAAGGAATGAATGAATGAATATATGAATGAATTCAATGTGGCAGACAGGGAGGAACCTAGCACTCTGTTAGACTCCCCTCAGAGTCCCGTTGCTTCTGGGTGCTCCTGCAAGAATTTGATTGCCAAATGTTTGCCCCTTCTCATCTACCTGTGAATTGCCTTCCTTCCTCTGAACTCCAAACCACTACCTCCTTTCTCTTTAGTTCAAGATGGCACATAATCCCCAACTGCCCAAGCTGTGTCCTCAGGCCCCATATTCTTACATACAAATTTATTATTACATACATAATAAATTTGATCATTTACTCCTGTCAATCTGTCTCATGACAATTTGATTAGACCAGCCAAAAGAACTTTGAGGGAACGAGGGAAAAATTTCCTTCTCCCTGACAGAATTATTTTCAAACAGTAGAGGGCCTCTGGAAATTCCAATGAAAAATTATAGAGAAAAAAGGAAGTATTTTGAATTTATTTAAAGGAGAAAAAGAAAGATTTATTCATTTATGTTTTGGGACAGGGGAAAAATGCACATTAGAGTCAAATGCTATTCCAAATACTATTCCATCCTCCATTTACTTTTCAGCCATACAGATTCTTCCATAATAAATCTTTTTATTCCAAATCTCTGCTTTTTTTTGTATTTGGGTGACTTCATAAAACTATACTTCCCAAGTTTACTTGCCTTGCAACAGACTGCACATGACTCTGGAACTTAAGCTCTAAGCCTCAACTGTTATTACCAGGAAGATTCAATTACATAGATATTTTTCTATGGGTCAAATCCTCAGAGAACAATGAATCAAGAATACCAATAAGTAACAAGTACACAGGGCAATGTGATTTAGCTAAGCTTTTAAGGAAAGCAGAAAGTACCTTTCACTTTTACACAAGTTCTCTGACTTTTGATTTCTAGACATTTAACCATATTTATATTTTTTCTGAAAATAGAATTCTCTCTGAGGAAGGCCCAAGTAATGTGGAGGGGAAAACATGTCCTCTTCAACCATGTCAGATATAACTAAGATCAAGGGGAAAATCAGTTTTCTGTTTGGAGACATTTACAAAAGCAATTTTTTCATGTCAATTAGTGGAAAAAGAGTTGATACAATAACAGATTTACCTAGAAATTCCAGAATCCAATGCAAGTTACAAAAATAGAAGTATTACATAGGAAGCAGAACATTTGTTAAATGTGTACCATTTGCCCTGACCAAGTTGCTCAGTTGGTTGGAGTGTAGGCCTGATGCACCAACGTTTCAGATTCCATCTCTGATCAGGACATGTACTAGAAGCAACCAATGAATGAGTGAATAAGTGGAAAAACAAAATCAGTGTCTCTCTCTCTCTCTCTCTCTCTCTCCCCCCTCCCCCCATCCCTCTCTCCCTCCCTCCCCCCCTCATAATTAAACAGTGCACTATTTGCCCTGCCCTTTACCATGAGCTACATGCTCTGCTTTCTATCAGTCAGACTATAGGAAAATTTCTCCCAACACCATCTTCAGCGTTAAAGCTACCCATTGGGAAAACAAAACAAAACAGTGTGTGTGCGTGCACGCGCATGTGTGTGCACACACAAAAAAAACTGCAGATATAAAAATGCAGGCACTTCTACTGCCCTCCCAATAATCTACACTTATGTTAAATAAATGTGACAATTCTAGAATTTAACTCCTAATAATCTACAGTGCATTGTGTCCGGGACCTAGTAGGTAATCAGTATTCTCTCAGTTGTTTGTTAAATGAAGATTGAAAGTACTCTGAACACAAGCTTTTGCTTTGTCAATGTATATTTAACATTCCACTCATAAAAACACATTTACACACACTCACACACACACACACAGTCCCTAGAAATAACCACATAGATGTCTGCTCCTGAAAATACCATCATGACAGAAAGTGGAAGATAAATATTATGATAGACTGGGACAGGATGATGACAATTAGAGAAATTATGAAGAGAAATTCCGAACACTGAAAATTCTTCCACTGTCTTTTAATATCAGTTATCTTGTTTTCCACTGAAATTCACAGGAGTCTACAAAAAAGTAATCTATTCCTACACTGAAACTTTAAGACTAGCTGCTCAAGGCCATAAAATCACACATAATCACAATCTGTTTACATCATTACACATGCCACATCATAGAATTTACACTGAAGCAGAGCCACATATTTAGAAGGAATATGCAACACGTTCAACAAACCTCAACAGAAATGAATAGTGATTGTACCATTTATCACTTAAAGAGTAGCTACCAGAACTACTAGTAATTCTCACACTAGTGGACAAACGTTTTCTATGAGTGGCTTATTTCAGTTCAGTGATTTTCTTCTGAACAAGTATACCTAATCTGTTATGTGTTGTGTTTTGTGAGGTTTTTTTTAATTCTGTCTTTATTCTGTACTTCAAACATAACATAGGTAGAAAAATAGAGTGAGATTTTTGTTTCAGTGTTTAAAAATACCTGAAAGCAAGAGTTCAACTCCACAGGGTTATTTACCAGCAGGTCGATGCTCCGAAAAAGCAGGCCAGAAAACACGTGCAAGATAAGGCTCTTTCAAAATAATTATACATATAGGGAATAGACGGAGAGGCAAACACAGCCGTCATCAGCAACATAACAGAAGCTTTGTTCCTCCTATTTGTAAACAAGAGCTCGGGCCAGCGCTCTGCCCTGGGACCTGAGAGGTAAGATATAATGGACACCACCCTGCACCCATCCCGAAGCATTCCACAAGGGCGATCTGGGGAGGCCGACCTCCGCCTTGGCCCGGAATGCTCCTCGGGCCAGGAGAAAGCCCTACCCGAACTCTTTTGCTTCCAGATAGGGGCTGGAGTCGACCGTCCTTGCTTAACTTCCCCGCCGTTAGTTACCCTGGGATTCTTAAACCTCCAACTATCTGCACTTTGCCATATAGGGAACAGATGCGCGTCTGTGCCCTCGAGGCAAACCCCCTAGAAGGTGCCCACACGGACGGCTTACCGAGCAGCGAGCCTACGAAAATGACGACCTGCACGGTTGTGGTGAACTGGCGGTACAGCTGCGCCTCGACGAACTCCCCGAGTGCGCTGCGGTTGGCGTCTGCCGCCTCCGCGCCCGACGCGTTGCGCGGGTCGCTGGCGTTTCTGAAGATCCAGCTGCCGTTATACCCCATGGCTAGGCTGGGGCTCCGGCTCTGCTCCGGCTCTGCTCGTTGACAGCCCGTCCGCCCTCCCGTCCGCCCGCCTTGAGCCCCGCGCCAGCCTCTCCTGCCCTGGGCGCAGAGGGACGCGCGGGTGCCTAGTGGAATCCTGGAGAACCCAGGGCAGCCTCGGGTCCCCTCACGACGCCACATCACCAGCCCCAGCGCTTGAGAGGCGGGGCGGGAGTAGGGCGAGACTGCGCCCCATTCCCGTTCCCTCCTGGGTCCCCGTCAGCCCCCACATGAAGGCGGCACGGTCAGAGCCCGCCGAGCGTCGTCCGTCCCTCCTCCCAGGTGGTCAGCACAGCCAAGCCCACTCAGCGGTGATAGAAACACTAAAAGATGCATTTGATGGTCAAGGAAGGAGCTCTCCGCTCTCGCGGCCCTCTTCAACCTCTGCTCCTTCCACCTCCCCAAGTCCCCGAGGGCTGGGGCATCCCTCTGGAGTCCCTTTGGCTGACGGGTTCAGCCCCGCTCCTTAGAGGGAAGAGAGAATTTGGCTGAAGCAGTTTTTCAATCCTGCCGGCTTAGAGGCTGGATGGCGATAAGAAACCTGTGGGCGCCCAAGCCAAGTGGTCGAAGCCCCGAGGGGAGTCCCAAGACCCCGACGGAGCCCATGGCCTGGGCGGAATGCCGTGAATCTCCCCCAGCAGCCTCGCCCTCGGCCCCTGGCCGTTTCCCAGGACACCTGCGCTGTCTCCTCCAATCTCCCTTCTCAGTGACAGCTGCAGGGACCCTGTCCCACAGTCCCTTTGCCTGTGCACGGCCTAGCGCCCCCTTTCCAGACCCTGCTCCGGCCCTCGGCTGCTGGGAAGAGAGCCTCGCAGCCGAACTGGTACAAGGGAGGACGCCCCTAAAGGGGTAGGGCACGATCTGCGCTGCCGTGGGACTCCCGGAGCGCGCCTGGGGCAGCGGGGGGCGCGCAGCCCGCGGGGGAGGTCACGTGAGGCGCCTGGCCCCGCCCCCCAATGGCGAGGCGGCCGCGGGGACGGCGCCATTTTGGCCCTCCTGAGCGTGACTTTTTCAGCTCAGAGTGTGGGAGGCGCGGAGGATTCTCGTTTCGCTGCGATGGCCAAGCTAGCAGCTCCTTCCAGGCATCGCTTCTTTTGTTACTGTTGTTACAGCTCCTTATCTCGTCAGCAGAGACTGCCTGAGGCTAACAATTACACATCACTGCCCCTTGGGCTGGGAACCCAGTCTCCTGGCTCCAAAGGCCTTGGGTGTAGCCGATGCATTTAAGAAGGATGAAATTTAGGAATCCAGTGCACGGTTTCCTGAGCCTTTTTATTGAGTCTTATTTCTAAAAGGTACACCATACAACCTAGGGCTGGTGGATTCCAGGAATGAAGAGTTGGGAGGGAGCAACTTCCTGGAGGCTGATGCAAAAAAAGGATGGGAAGCTGGGATAACCAAATAAGCAAGAAGAAACGGTAAAGTAAGAGAAGCTGAATTTGAAAAGAAATATGTATGGAATCTAGAAAAAAGATTGGGGGAAAAGAAAAGGAGAAACGAGTCAGGAAAAGACTACTAAAGATTTACTTGTTTTGACTATGGAAATTGGTTTCGTTTTAACAAGTGAAAGGACATGGTTGAGGGCTTTGATGTATTGACTGACTAGGTTCCAGGAAAATAACTTTTAAGAATTGACTGAAACTACAGGGTTATTTCTTGGTTTCCTCAAGGCTGATCGTGCTATAATATGGCATCCTCACTTTGACTGGTAAACCTTGTAACTCTTGAAAGAGCAGAAGTCCAGGTCTCGTACACCTTTGGATTCTCACAATACCTACACATAATAATCCTCCATGTAAGCCGTTATTTTAAACATTTTGGAGGCCAAAAAAGAAAAAAGGGGAAATTACTGATTAATTGTTGTTGTGTTTTAAGTTAAAATTTGTTCTGGGAGTCCAAACATTTTCCATGAAGAAACTCCTTACACTATAATCACTACAAAACAAAAAGGATAATAATTCAACGTCCAACACACTCCTTTAGGAATGTGCCTAGTTAACAGTTGTAAAAATAACCCTTACCAACCTTCATCTGCCAACCCCCTACTCAAAATTGCTAAGAAGGATGGGGATAAGGGTGTAGAAAAGAGTCGATTTTGCAGGTGTAAAGATTTTAATAAAGCAAGAAACCTCTCATTCTTTTTATTCTAAAAAGATACCAGTAAATTCTCTACAGCCTCTAAATTGATATTAGGGTATAGGGTTAGTTGAATCAAGAAGTAACCTGATCAGCTGAGTTCCCCATGATTATCAGACTTGCAGAAGGACTGCTTTGTGAAAATACAGGACTAAGGACATAATTCCTATAGGTGTATGCTTTATGAATTTTTCACTGGCCACAAGATAATTTAAGGTTCTAAGAGATTGGACATGATTTAAATATGTGTTAAGTGTCTACAGTAGTGTTATTTATACTTATCAGGTCATCACAAACTCAGTGGCCTAAAAAGCAGCAAGCCTTTAGTTTTGCTCACAAATATTCATTTTGGGGAAGGCTCGACAGGACAGTTTATCTTTGCGCCACATGACATCAGCTGGGGCAACTCAAAGTTGAGGCCATGGTCTGGAATCTGAAAGCTTCTTTACTCGCCTGTCTGGCAGTTGATGCTGGTTCTTGTCAGAAAGTTAGCTGGAACTGAGCTGGGAATACCTATATGTGGCCTCTCCAAGTAGCTGCTTATCTTCTCAGGGCCTGGCAGCTATGATCCAAAAGTGAGTATTCCAAGTGAGACTCACAAGAGGACAAGGCAGTAGCTGCATTGACTTTTATGACAATCTCAGAAGTCATATAGCATTGCTTCTACTGTATTTGTCAAACTCCACATTTAAGGGGAGAGGATATAGACCACACCTTCCAAGGGGCAGTTTGTCAGTCATAAGAAGAGCATGAGGAATGAAAGAGATTGTTGCAGTCATTTAAGGAAAGTATAATCTGCCATAATACTACTTTTGTTAAAAGAAATCCTTTGAAAGGTCCCATTTCAGGTATATTTCTTCTGGAATTAAACCTGAAGAGGTCAAAAACCACAAAAGTGAGTTACAGTCCACTTCAATTACTTAGCATGTACAGGTGTTACATGGATATGAGCTGGCCAATAGTAACGCCTGGCAACAGTGTGGTACGCTGCCATAGCTGAAGGCAGGTGATTAGACCACCAGCTATCAGGTTTATGTGCTAGCTAATTTTTACCCAAACTTTCTGAAGCTACATTAAAAGCAGATAATAGGTAATTGGGGTAAACAACAACAACAACAAAAAACGCCTTTGGCTCTTAGATAACAGCATAAGTAACATTCCTCTCCCATAATGAACAGTATAAGAAGGTATTCTCCCAACTTAAAAACATTTTGTGTTCCAAAAATTTTTAAGTTAGTTGTTTAGCACTCAGGATCCATTCCCCTATAGAAATAATAAACATGGTGATAGGCTTCCCAGGCAGAATAGGAGCAAAAAGAGGGAGTGAGAGGCTCTGGGGATTAAGGACTCCCAGGGAGGTTTTACTCAATCTGTACCTCCCTCTCTGAAGCTCTGCCTCCTTCAGCCCTTTTAAAGAATTACTTCTCATTTAACAAATGTTAGTAATCTTGTGCTGGGAAGGCAGGAATATAGCAGTATGGAATAGAATAGATTTTTATAACTTTCTCCAATCACCTGTTCTTTAATCATATACCTACTGAGATTTTCTTAGTTTTCCTTCTCATATCCATGGGAGAATAGGTATAATGGTTAATTTTATGTATCAACTTGGCTGGTCTGTGAATTGCCCAGGTATTTGGTAAAAGGTTTGTCTGGATTTGTCTGAAGAATATTTCTGGGTGAGATTAGCATTTGAACCTGTAGACTGAGCAAAGAAGATTGGGCGTCCAACATATCTGAAGATAAGGGCATACCAACAAAGTACCCATCAGTAGACGAGTAGATAAAAAAAAAGCTGTGGTGCTTATATACAATGGACTGTTACTTAGCCATGAAAAAGGATAAAATCTTAACATTTGTGGATGGGCAGCATGGATGGACCTAGAGGATATTATGCTAAGTGAAATAAGTCAGACAGAGAAAGACAAATACCGTGTGATTTCACTTATATGTGGAATCTAAAGAACAAAATAGACAAAATTGAAACAGACTCATAGATACAGAAAAAAAGAATGATGGTTGACAGAGGGGAGGGAGGTTGGGACAGCGTTAAAAAGATGAGGGATTAAGAAGTACAAATTGGTAGTTAACAGAATAGTCATGGGAATGTAAAGTACAACACATGGTATATAGTCAATAACATTGTAATAATTATATATGGTGCCCGGTGGGTATTTGAAATAATAGGGGGATCACTTTGTGAAGTATATGATTGTCTAACCACTATGCTATACACCTGAAACTAAAAAATATATATATTGAATGCAAACCGTAATTGAAAAATAAAATTTAAAACATTTTTTTAAAAACCACTGGGTGGGCCTCATCTAATCAGTTGAAGGTCTGAATAGAACAAATGGTCAGTGGATAATTTTATTGTGGTTCAGTTATAGTTGTCCCCATGTTTTCCCCATTACTCCCCCCTGCCCTACACCCCCAGTTCCCACATTCAACCCTCCCCCTCTTCCCTCGTTGTCTTTGTCCATAGGTCCTTTACACGTGTTCCTTGACTTGATCCTTCCCTTCTTTCCCCCATTATCCCTCTCCCCCACCCCTCTGATCACTGTCAGTTTGTTCTTTATTTCCATGTCTCTGGTTCTATTTTGTTCACTATTTGTTGTGTTGATTAGGTTGGCAGTGGATAATTTTTAAAAGCCTATTTCCTTCTCTTGTTTTATATTCCTGTGGTGTAGTGATAGGTAAAATCTGCACATGGGTGCTAATAACAAGTCTTTCCATACCTATAGAATGTAATAGGATCCATTTCTATTCAAAAGAATTCCCAGAATTCAACTTTCTTGGGCATTTATTGAAGAACAGGAAGG